AGTACTGGTAGTGGCGTATACATCATATCTCTTTTGCATATTTATAAGTATATTGTTGTTTGAGTAATGTGCATCACTAATTGAACGCCATTAGTGATAAACTTGCTGGTTATTTGAATATCTATTGTGTTACTTCTCCGCTACCGTGTTTGTTGTTACCTTAGTTATTTTGGAGAAGACTCACATAGTGTAGTAGATTGCAATCCAAGAAATAGAGTTATACCATATGTTTTAAATGATTTACTTAATCTTAATATCGTGCTTTGCGCGCCTCATGTTTTCTTATTTGTAATATTTAACTTAATTTCATATGTTACAACTCTAAATTAAGAGATAGATAAAGTTTATGTTTTTTATTTCCTTCCATTTTGTTTTACTTGAATTGGTATTGTGATAAAGAGATAGTCGTTTACATAAGTTTATTTTTCTCATTTTGAAACTCACCTCCGTGCAACGCACGGGTGAAATACTAGTAAATATTAAATCAACTAATGTTACTTGTTTCTATAATTCCTCTAATCATGGGATCCTAATAATTAAATTTATAATGTATTAGTTTTTTTCTGATTTTATATATTCACTTGTTTTAATGATACTTAATGAAAATTATCATTAAAAAAAATGGGGTCGATGCCCCAGAATCCCCGGAACTTTAACTCCACTATACCACAAATTTCTAGCATTGTCACTGGTTATATACGTTACAAAAACGAGTGAACATAGAGTTTATCACCTCTTTAGAAGAAAATGAGTTTTAATGTAGAATGTAGAAGGATCCCAATTTTTTTAACCGTCTTTAAATCTCATCTACCCTCTAAAATCTCAGGAACGGGCCCGAACAGTGTAAGAAAATATTTGTTAGACTAAGGTGGTGTTTGCAAAAACTTTTAAAAATAGATTATGAGCTTTTTATCTCACATAATCTATTTTTAGGTGTTTGTAAAACTGACTTTTGTTTTTGCTTCTCTTAAAATAAGTTGTTTTAAGCTATAATTTTAAAAGCACCCATGTACCTGCTTTTTCTATTTTAGTTCATTTTCCAATTTTTTTACAAACACTCCCAACTTTTAGAATTAAGCACTTATATCAACTTAACTCACAATCAATAACTTATGCTTTTAAATAAGCTTTTGCAAACACCACCTAAGTCGACTACAAACATCCATACTCTACCCTATCATAGACAAGGCAAGGACCCTTAATTTGTTTTCGGTATTTAAAGGCCCCAAAAAAAAAAAAGATAAATGAATATTTTTTATATAAACAATGCTAAAAATATATTTTAGAAAAAATAAAATTTATCAATATATATCATATATGATATGAAAGTTCAAATCCCCAACTTTTTGTATATCGTTAAACAATAGAAAATAATTTTTATAATATATAAAATATAATTAAGTGCTCAAAATGTTATTTTTTGGTCTTGAACCCTAAAAACATAATGAGGATAATTCTAAGGGTGGTGGTGTTATCATTTCAAAATTTTTTGTACTGTTTCTGTTTTTGTTTTCTTTTTCTCTCTCCCCTCTCCACAAAAATCATCTCAACCATTTCGTGCAAATATTGTCAAACATTCATCTTAATAAAACAATTTTCGAACAAAAATTACTTCATCGAACGAGTAAGGGATTCACTTAAGGAGGCGATTAAATTTTAACGTTTTCGTCCAATTATCGTTTAAAAATGCACCTACTCATATTTTGGGAGTAGGTTGTGAAGCCTTTCGTGAGTTGTGAGTCTTCACACGCCCAGTACAAGTGTGGAACTTCAAAGCCCACGCCCAATTTGGACGTGGTACGGTTTTTTTTTTTTTTTTTCGGATTATATATTGGTACTTCAACGTAAGTACTAATACAAATTAACATAAAATTCTACTACAATTTTCAAAGCAAAAATATTACCATAGCTTGGAAAAAAGATCTAGTATCTACGTTTGTTCCGAGCATGTGGTCTGTCTATGTGACGGTATCTCATCATCATCATCCATCCCAACATCTGGGAGGTGGAACCGTACATACTCAGGAAATGTTTAGGAATCATTGATGGAGGCAAATTGTCACTATATTAAGGATGCACCACTCGCGTGATATCGTATACAAATAGGTATGGAGATGCCTCCACGCTCTCTAACTCGTAGTCCCATGGAACTATACACAAATAAGTACTAGGGAGCTACTTTCAAGTAAACAAATCCGTTTGTTAAGCGGGTCACATGACCTCTCCATGATACTATGATTCGTCAATAGTATACACCTTTGGGACATTCCATGCTCTATTATATCGTAGGACTCAGTACAACACTTTTCATACAAATTAGTACACTTTGTATCGGGTGCTGGATCAGTCAACTATCATCCACGAGTAGGAATCGGGGGAGTAGCAGTCGAGGGAGTAGTAGTCGGATCAGTGTGTCCTCCATCAACAATGCATCACATCACCATCAATAGTGAACTTATGAAAATTGACAATGAACATATGATAGTGACGTTGGGTACAAGGTGCACCGCACACTATTGACAACTGCACTTGCATTGTTCATCGGGGATTTTAACTAATAAAAATACGAGTAATATTGACAAGCGGATGACTTTTAGCTTATGAAAAAAAAAATCTTGCGTCTTTATTACTAATGAAATTAAATATGAGGAAATCTTAGCAAATTGCCTCTAATTTAATGAAAATAAATTAGAAGAGGAGTCTAATTGTAACATATATAAAGAAAACATATGATCAAAGTTTTGGGACTTAAGAGGGTATATGAGAAAAGAGGGAGGGCTTTTATGTAAAATGGAGATTTTGAATTCAAAAAATTCAAAAATCCGTTTCATCTGCTACAGAAATGGAGGATAGCTTAATCACTACGTCAGCTAAACGGTTTTTTCCTAATAATTTCTCTTCCGTGTTTTTGTGCAATTGGACTTTCCTCTTTACTATCTTGCAAAATTAAAGTAAATTACTTTAAATGGAGTTTGTTTACTTATAAATTACTCCACTTTTGACGATTCTGCCCCTTCATAAGTTAATACTCATCTAATTATTACCAATTTGTGAATAGAACTTTAAATATTTTTTTTAAGTCGGGGATGTTTGTAAATATTCTAATCCGAGTTTAAACAATCAAATTATTAGTTGCAATGCTTGCAAATTTAATTTTAAATTTATCTTTGTAAATCATCTAAATATTATGATAAACCTGAGAGGCTAGTTATCACCGGATTTGTACTTCAACCACACTTTTGTCGATTCACCTAAATCGTTCATACTTCCTCCTCCTTTTGCCACTTACGGATCCTTCTTATTTATTGAGCAAGTAGATTTAAACAAAAATAAATTGCACGAACATCCAATTTTAAATTTCTTTATTTATGATAAATATTTTTAAATTAAAAAATATATTATAGAGTTACTTTTAGATTATAGATTAAACAATTTAGTAGTAAAGAACATGAAACAAAATTACATTTGCAATACAAGTAAGGGTAAATTCTACTTTCTCATTTGTACATTGACTCTGTATCACTTTATCCTCTTCTACTCTTGATTGCATTGATTTGTCCCCCGGACTTAAAAAAATATCTCAATGTGGCCTTCGTTGTTAGTTTTCAGACATTTGACCTTAACACCGTTTGATCTAAGCTCTGAAATTACAAAAAAAACCCCTCTCTCAGTTTAAAAAATAAAAAAATAAAAAAACGAAAAAATAAAAATAATTAAAATTCAAGACAACGAGAAAATATAGTCTACGACGCCAACAATTTTTTTAATAATAATTTAAACTGGGAGGGGTGGTTCTTTTTTGTAGTTTTAGACTTAGATCAAACAGTGTTAAGATCAAATGTGTGAAAACTAACGGTGACGGCCACATTAAGACAAATTTTCAAGTACAGGGGGGCAAATCGAAGGAATCGGGAGTAAAAAGTGGTAAAGTGATATCGAACTAAAGTACAAGGGAGGAAAGTATAATTTACCCTAAAATTAATGGAGATAACATAGGAGGGCATTATAGTAAATATAAAAAGCACCAGTTCTGTCACTGTCACGTGCCTTCCAACTAAAGCACATGTGTCCCTGTAAAACGGAGAGAGAGAGAGAGAAGAAAAAAGAGGGGGCGGAATAAAAATTCAAAAGAAATTCAATCCAACTGTTACCAACAACCAGCAATCTCTCCGGTTCTCTCCCTGCAATTTCGTTCTTTTTTCTAGAAAAATAAAGGGTAAATATCGAAAACCCCCTAAGCTTAGGCAAAATAACAAAAAACACCCCCATAGATTTGTAATTACCAAAAAACCCCTAAGGTTTGTTTCCATGTTACACCAACCCCTACAGTGTGATTTTTTCACGGATTTTTTTTTATTCCAGGAAATAGACTTTACGCAATTTCAGATATTTTCTTTTATTTTTCAACTATTTAACATAATGTATTATAGACTGTACACATTTTCTGTTCAAAAACTCGATCAATAGTTAATCAGAGAGTTATTTTGGTTATTACGGATATGTGGGGTATTTTTCGTTATTTAGCCTAAGTTTAGGGGTATTTACGTAATTTACCCGAAAATAAATACAGAGAACAGAAGAATACAGAGTAAGCAGTAACACTAGCATTCAGTAGTATAAATAACAGTGGGTGCACTTTTCTCCTACAGCAGCTCTCCCAACAAACAACACCAGCGAAATCTTAAGACAGGAACAATCATCATCGTACCCCCAGTTCTCATTTTCAGATCTCATCAATTCTTTGTCCGAACAACAACAAGCACAAACAAGAATTCTTTTTTTTTTTTGAGTAGTTGTTGATAGCAATGGAAAAATGCACGCCGGTGAGGAAGCCCCATACTTCGACGGCAGATCTACTCACGTGGTCGGAGAATCCGCCGGAATATTCCCCTGCACCCGCTTCCTCTGCCCGCTCTCACCAGGTAATAATAAATAATCTGCACTTGTTATATAATTTAATCCCCTTTTTTCAATGTTTTTGTGTTGAAAAAGTTGAGATGAAATGACAGCCGTCGGATGGGATTAGCAAGGTGGTGTTTGGTGGGCAGGTTACTGATGAAGAAGTTGAGAGCTTGAATAAAAGGTTAGCGATCTACTTCTTTTTTATTTATTTTTTTAATTTTAATTTATTTTTATTATTTTATTTTGGGTTTTTATTTGTGAGTTAAGCAAGAAATCAATTTTTGGCTGCATTTTTTAAATTTGTATCATGCATTGTATGAAGTTTTCAAAGCCGAAAGGCGATGGTGGATTTTGATTCAATAATATTCATGTTCAGCTGGTATTTATGTTTCTGATCATGAGATTGGATGAACGTACGCTAGGATATCGGGATCTTGCATTTGTTCGTCTTCCGTCCTAATTCATATAAAATCCTTTGTCCATTTTTAGATCTTGGATTGATTTGTCGAAGATTCGATATCTAAAAAGAATGGACAGCTAAAATCCAGATGCTTTTATTTAGCTTATAGTGCATTTCTCATTTCAGCCCTTTTTAACGCGATTTTACCCGATTTTAAGGCACTTGTGGTTTCAGTGCGATCTTACTCCTTTTTCAGTGTGTAAAATCTTAAAAATCTTACGATTTTACGATTTAGATCTTGATTTTGAGTACTTTGTTGAGGAGAGCTTATCGCAATATTATTCATTAAAGATAAATATAGATACAAATAGTTTATACAAATTTTACGTTAACTTTGTAAATAATATGACATAAAAGCTCGGTCCCGATTTTTATGAGACAATCTTTACAATCTTATAATTTGCAGAAAGCCGTGTTCGGACTATAAAATGAAGGAAATGAGTGGCAGTGGTATTTTCAAAGGCAAAGGAGAAAATGGAACATTGGAAAGTGAGGATGATGACGGTGAGACCCCAGTCAACAAAACTGGTTTGCGTATGTACCAGGTTCGTCTTTTTGCCCTTTTAATCATTGTTTTAGCGCAAATTACGGCCACCTCCTGAGTTATGGTCAAATTACGAAAACCCCCCTTCTGTTTGGGTAATTACAACCACCCCTCAACTATGTATTATCTTACGAAAGATGTAGATTTAGGGATGTTAAATCGGTAAACCCCAACCAAAATTTCGGTACGTCAACATTTCATACTGTTTACCGAACTGAATGTACGATTTGGTTCGTTAATTAACCGAATTACATAAATTTGATATAAAAAAATTTAAAAGGAGGGGGTTGACTGTAATTACCCAAACAAGAGGGTTTTTCGTAATTTGGCCATACCTCAAGGGGTGGCCGTAATTTGCCCTTTTTTTTTTAATAAACGTGTTTACAGTTCAGATGATTTCTTCAATCTCCCGGGGGTTAAAATTGTCATTTTTCTCCAGCAAGCATTGGGTGGAATGAGCAACATTTCTTTCAGTGAAGAAGGAACTGTTTCTCCGAAGAAGCCGTCCACTCTGCCTGAAGTTGCCAAACAGAGGGAGTTAAGTGGAAATCTCGACACCGAGTACGAGTCGAAATTGAACAAACAAATTTCCATGGCGAAAAACAAGGAACTCAGTGGCAACGATATCTTCGCTCCGCCACCCGAAATTCAGCCCCGCCCTTTGACCGCTCGGGCTCTGGCTTTAAGAGAAAGCATAACCATCGGAGAACCCACTTCGCACAACGTACGTTATGCTAAAATGAAAAAATTCCCCTTGTTTACAATCTTGATAAATATTACATACGCATATGAATTCAATTTTATTTTTTCTGCAGAGCAACGGTGTTTCGAGCGAAGAACCTGCGATTAAGACAGCAAAGAAGATTCCGAACCAGAAATTTACGGAGCTTTCGGGGAATAATATATTTAAGGGAGACGCACCTCCTTCGTCTGCCGAAAAGCCGCTGAGCTCGGCAAAATTGAGGGAAATGAGCGGAAGCAATATTTTCGCTGATGGGAAAGTGGAGTCGCGCGATTTCTTAGGAGGGGTACGCAAACCTCCCGGTGGAGAAAGCAGCATTGCCCTCGTGTAACTTTTGTTAGGATTTTCTAACTAAAAAAAATTTGTTTCACTTGTTAATTCGCGTCGTTTATTTATCTTATTTAGTTGGGATTTGTTGTTTTATCATATACATATGATTTGACTTGGTTTGTGGGGGGCTTTTGGTGTGTCCTAGGTTTGATTAACATGTCCTAAAGTTACCAACATTTGGCTAATTGAATTGAATGTTCATATTACTTTGTGATTTAGTTTTAATGTTTATGAAGAGCTCGAGCTTGAGCTCGACGGGTAATCTTTTGTTAAGATTAGGCCTTTCTACTGTGTGTTTATTTTTTTTTTCTTTCGGGAATTTGTTTTTATTGATGACATGTATGAGAAGTTCGTTTCTGGTTTATTATCTATAAATTTGGACTTGGATTTGTTTCTCATTTGAATATGCTTGAATGAAATCATCATATAACTGTGTGTTGGTGGCTTTCTATATGTGCTATGATTGTTCAATTGAAGTCATATGAGGTTGGTATCCTCTTTTGATTATGAGTGTTAAAATCATTCTTGATGAATTGTAGTTTAGTCCCCAAAACCGATTTCGATTGGTGGGTGCCCTCCTAGATATGACCATAGTTCGGTTCGGTTTAGGTTTTGGAGGAATTGGAACTGAACCGTATATAGACGGTTTAAAACGGTCCGGAAACTGTCGGTTCCAGTTCTGGTTCGACCGGTTTCGAATAATTTCTTTTTTTCTTTTTTGCAAAAAACACTTGAAAACTTTTAAACACTTGCAAAAACCTTTGAAAAAATTATTGTAGATACTTGAAAAAAATACTTATTCTTGAAGTCAAATTTTGAAAATACTTCAAAAAATATTTTCTTACTTTTAATTTTTTTGAAGGAATTAGTTGTAGTTATAAAAACTAAAAAAGGAAAAGTAAAGAAATTGAAAGGGCTTGCACTTATTTTTTTTTAATCCGATCGTTGGACGCTGCCACGTGGAGATTTCAATTTTTTTTTGAAAATTCGACCGTTACAAATTTTTAATTTCAAAAAAAAAAAAAAACGGTCGGCGTTTCTAACCGTCGGTTTTCGGTTCCGAATCCGGGGAACCGTAATTGAACCGGTTTTTTCGGTTCCGGTGTTGGTCAAACCGGTTTTTGTTCCGATTTTGTAACCGTTGACCACGGGTCACTCCGGTTAGAACCGTAACCGTGGTCATGTCTAGTGCCCCTCCACCCTAATCTACAAAATGTCTCTAGATAACTAGATTTTAATATAAATTAATTGGGGTAATTTGCAAAAAAGTCCCTACAAATAGAAGTTACTAGGTGGAGGGAGAACAAAAATTAGCTGAAAGCCCCTCGCATGTCCATTTTACCACAACCACCTCACAGTTTTTACGGTTAATGAGGTATAACTTCCTCATTATGAAAAATATTAGGACTAATTACCCTTTTTTTAATTAAATCCCCTCAAATTTTTGCCGAACCAAAATTACCCTCATATTTTCTGTCATAAATGAAACCCCCTCGCCCATCTTACCAAATCAACTGATATTTTGAAGCAATTTATACGAAATCAACTTCTCCCTACACCACCGTGATTCTTGCTAGTTTCTTCCAAAAATTTTGCACAAAAATCTGACCTGGTATCTATTGTCTTCTTTGAGCTCTGAAACAACCCTAGATTGCTACATTTGTTCGAAAAAGACCTACATTCTTGCGAATTGCAGAGAAACAACAACGAAAAAAATGGTGGAATCCAACAAATCGAACAGATGTAGTTTGCTATGCGGTTCGAGTTTCGTACAAAATTTATTTAAATTTACATAGATTCTGTGAGATTTCAATGTAGTTGCTCTATTATTATTTTTTCAATTTGAGCGCCTCCGAAGTCCAAATCGAAGTCCCCTACGAAAACCTCAATCAACAATAAAATAAATCCCCACACTATAAACGATTTCAACTATATGGGTTGTAGTTTTTATAGTTGCGTTGCGAGTTATCATTAAATTACTCGGTTTTCCATAATTTCAGTGTCGCCAAAATCGAAGAAAAGGCTTGCAAAGAAGAAACAAGTTGACAATAAAAAATAATTAGTACTTCAATTCAAGTTCATCATTCCACTGAAAAGTCAGTAGTTAAATTCATGTTCATTATTGTACAACATGTATATTTATTTTTTCGAATCGCAGAGACACTGCAAAGCAAGAAAAAAATAGATATTATAAAACTAGACGCCAGTAACTATGGTTTTCAATTTGATTATGTAGTTGAACTGTTTTTTTCTTGCAATGGTGTTTCAGCAAAATATGTAGAACACTGTTTTTGGTAGGGATGGCAATGGGGCGGGTTTTGCAATCCCCATCCCCGCCCCGCTATGAAAATCCCCATCTCCATCCCCGTCAGAATCTCCGAACTTTATAAAAAGAATTCTCATACCCGCCCCATAAAATCATTGTGGGTATCGAACGGGTAAAAATCCCCGTCTATTTTTTGTTTCTTTTTTTTAATGCAATATACTTACAATTTAAAGGTTTATTTCAACAAATAAACCAATATTTAATTATAATACTATTATTTAATTATACAATCGAAACTTAAAAATTCCTATTCGTAATATATTACTACTATTTAATTATTTATATTTAATATAATAATTAATAAATATATATTATATATATAAATAATGCAGGACGGGTACGGAGACAGGTACGGGGCGAGTATAGACAAACCCGTCCCCATGCCCATACCAAGTAAAAAAAAAAAATTCAATCCTCATCCCCGCTCCATTTTTTTTCGGGCGGATCAAATTGCCACCCTTAGTTTTTGGGCTTTGGTGGGACTATGTAGTTGACTTTCCGTACACAAATCATAGTTCAAAACAACTTCCGTTATTCAAATGTATCTTATACATTTAGCAACTACTGAAAATATTTATATTCCAATTTCCAATTGCTGATGTGTAAATGTTTTCTGATACAAGGATATGTGAAAAAATAAAGATCAACTGTTGGAACCACGGCTGTAATTTGACGATTGATCACGAAACTTGTGGATTGAGGCTTGTACTCCATTTGTTCTCTAATTTTATATGTAACAAGTTGCTGCAATAAAAACCACGATAATGTGGAGATAGGCAAGGTGAGGCGCGGACTAGGTCGCTCTCTTAAGACGAATTTCACGACCCCTTCTCTAATGAGGTGCAAAAAGGTTCCGATCGTGTCGCCTATGGGATACAACAGCCCAGCCTATCTCTCCGCTGTACCTTCACCGGAATTGCACGTTCAAGTAAAGCAGAAGCTTACAACCGACACACAACAAAAGCTCAAAGTATATGTATCTAGTATATTAGAAAAATATTTCTTTTCATCTTCTCTTGTACTCTCTTCTCTCATACTTTTACAAAGCTACAAAAGTCCCCTTTATATAGTATAAATTATAAGCACAATAAAACCTCTATTTAATATAGAATTAAAGGAAATTATGGAGGTTTTATGAGGCAAAATAAAGTGCTTGTATGTTTCAAAATGTTGGTCAAAATTACCTCATAAATTGGTCAAAGAAAATATTTAATAAAATATTATTTTTATTAAAAAACCCCAACAATCCCCCACTATTTTAATAAAAATAATAATACTTGAGCTCTTGCGGAATATTATGCATAATGAAAGTGAGCAATGCCTTGAAACCTTCACTTAGTACAATATGTTTTCCGTACTAGAATCAAAGTGGACTTAGCCTTGAAACAATGACCCTTGAGGCACGTAGAATCATATAGCACACATAATACTCAAAGTGTCCCGATCGAAGCTTCTAAAGCCAGCACGTTAACGGCCATGTGCTTTACCCCATTTCTCGTGATAGCTCTAGAGAATAGCCTATAATTCTCATAGGAAGTGGCCCCACTTCCACACTCACAAGATGAATTCTATCAAGGATGTTTACGTAACTCCAACACCCCACCCATTCGGGCTATAGAAATCATTAAGAGATCGAAGTCTCAACCTCACAATTCGTTACGAGCTTTATTAATGCACACGCATCATAGGGATGGATAATAAAAGTGTGCACTTTTATCACTATCAAGTTGCTTTCAGATTCGTTTTTCTTCGCCTAGTTCTTAGGATCTCTAGCCCCTAGGCGGTAGTATCCTCATCAACAACTTTACAAAATATATTAGGCTTTCACCTAATCCCCCTCGATGAATTTCAGATGATTTCTGAAATAATGTGAAATATAATTTCACAAATTTAGTCTCATAGACTTCGTGGTTTATTAACCATTTCTCATATAATTTCTCAAATAACTTACATGTAATCTCACATGTAATATCACATATATATTACAATGATTTTCACAGTACTGTATTTTCTTTTAATGGTTGCGGATCCCATTAAAAGATTCTCGCAATTTTCCAACTACAGTTTCTCCATGACAACTTTCAATGCACAAAGCACTGATATTTCACAATCAATTTCATCAAAGAACAAAGCATTGATCTATCCCATGCTAGGATTTTATTCACATTAGACAACCTCTTCACAGACTAATGTCAAAACAATAAATCCAAAATTAATATAAATTTTGACTTTTAAAGCATTAAGACCCCTACTATTTGATCACATAATCATAATCACAAATTCATATGATTCATTTAGGCATTAAGATCCCCACTATTTCTCAATATTTAAAGCATGTTAAACAATACATAAAATGTTTCAATCATATGATCATGCTCTCTAAAACCTCCACTATTTCACATTAAATGTTCAAACACGTGCATGATGAATTAAATTTAAGATATAATATATCATGCTCATTTTCTCAATTAGGTGTAATTACCATGGCACCCATTATTTCTCTATTTATTTTCTTGAATACTTAATCCCATTAATCACACAGTGCTAACATTAGTAGACTAATAACCAATTACATGAAATTTAATTATTCGTGAGAATATGAAAATACGTTTTCGAGTAATTAGTTATATTCCAACGGCCAAATAATTTATTCTATTATAATTGCATGCACAAACGATTTATATTGACCATTAAATGCACAAAACATAAGCCGCACGTGGAGAGTGCACAAATAGTACTCTCTCCGTCCCTTTTATATGTCGTTTTGGGTGGTTACACGTAGATTAAGACTAGTCGATAAACATGCATATATTATACCAAAAATAACATATTAAATAATAAGGGCATTAAGTGATACAAATGCAAAATGATAAGGGCATTAAGATAGTCATTAGTTATTTTTTAATTAACTAATTAAGAGTGATAAGGGCATAATTGATAAAAATGCAATTAATGCCTTGTTGGAACTCTAAAATGATAAATAATTTGGGGGAAAAAAAATACCTCAAAAGGACATATAATAAGGGAGGGACTTGCTATTTTGCGGTTTGAAATTTGCT